GTTCAGTGAATATCCGCATATTTAGAGGGCCAAAGGAGGGCCTTGTTTGAAGACTGTGAGTCCGAAAGAAAATCGAATGTAGACGAAATTCTGCACCTGAAGAAGGAAATCGCCAGTTTGGTGGTTGTGCTGCACGAGAGCAAAAGTTCAGTGGCCAAACATCGTTTGCAAACCAGGTAGAGTGTCCATTTTAGACAGAATTGTGCAAAAAACCCAAGTTCTATTGGCGCTTTATGTATATTAAGCAAACGTGTGCTTTCCAGTCGTTTAGAGAACATAGTGGGGCCTCTATCGGAGAAAACCTGCAGCGAGGTGAAAAAGAGGCTGGACTTGCAGATAATCGATAAGAGCAAAAAGCTTGATCTTTTGGCGTACCAACTGAAAAAGGTCGCAGAACTTTCCCAGTGCGACTTTCACCTAAAGTTCCGGAATGTTTCAGAGGCGGAGGCTCCTCAGCCACTTGGGCGAAGAGTACCAGAGATTCTCCAGCAAGGAGGAGAAGAAGGAGTTGGCTGTTAAAGTGGACCAGCCAGTTTATCAAGTAAAACCCCCCGTTTAAGAGCATTCAGGAGGTCTGGGTAACACTGTGTTGAGTTGCGCTGTTGGGTTGTTGCCGCTCTCTGAGTTAACTCATCGGTTACTGAGCTATAAGTCATTTATTAAAGGTTTACAAGACTCTTTTGCTCTCTGGTTGTTTTTTCAAGATAATCTTAATTACCTTCGGTAAAAAACTGAATACAATTATTTGATTTTTGTGCCACAATCGAAGCTGAAATGGGTTTTCTAAAGTTTCCTGCATACCGATGAATGAGGCGAATGTTCTAGCAAACTTAATTTTGTCATTATTGTCAGAAAAGAAGAAAATCATCCGAAAACAATGGTTTTTTGCGTTTTCGATTGAAAACTGTTAATTTTGTGTTCGGTTTTGGGGAAAACCTCAATGGTTTTCGGGAAAAAAGGAGTATGAATACGCAGTTTGCTGTCGACAGTCCATCGCGTTCTTAGATAGGAAATATAGAATCATTGTGGCCCTTACCTGTTGAGGATTAATGGGTAGAAAATGGAGGATGGGGCCCCAGCTTGCAGAACTCTCTCTAATCTATAACTGTTTTAGATTAGAGAACTAAGGGCCGGTGAGTTGGGTTGGCGCCCCAACCCAGTTGCGTAGCACTGCGCCAACCCCTAAAAATTTGCTGCGTTACCCAGGCCTACCAGTGAGTATTTTTAACATAATCATTTCAGGCCACGCGAGAGTTCCAAAACAGCATTCATGCGGTGGAGGTGCAGATCCGCGAAGCCAACCACATTAGGCACAAGTACGGGGAAATCAGAAGATGCCTGAAAGACGATGCGGCCAAATTCGAAAGCCGCATCAAATCGTTGGAGACGGAACTGAAGCAGCAAAGTGCAGACACTGGAAAACTGCTCAAGGTGGCCCCAGTCATGCAAGCTCAAACAATGGAGTGTCCCTAAAATCACTGTTTTAGATTCTGGAGGAAGCCACCAGGCGCAGAGGACAGGCCAGAGGCATTCTGCTGAAGGAGGAAAGGTTGGCTGCCGCTGCAGCCAATCAGCGGGATCAGGAGGCGGCCGAAGGCCGCCGCTTAGTCAGCGAAAGAAAGGTGCGAAAACACCCTGGGCAATACCACATCACTACCCACATAGCAAAATGATATTCCCAGAATATACCTGGAACATTCATGTGATGTACATGCATATTCCTGGGACATACATGAGTTCCATTATTAACATTCCATGTATGTCCCAGGAATCTGTCAGAGTTAATACACTGAATGTTCATGGTAAGTTCTGGGAATGTACATGGTATGTTCAGTGAATGTACATGTGTATGTTCAGTAAATGTATATGGTATGTTCAGGGAATATACATACATATATGTAACGAAAGAAAAACGATCCTTTATTTCATCTTATTAGTTTATTCACAT